ATAGGTTGATGTCCTGTTTCTTCACTAGTGAAGTCTAACACTGTTCTGTGTAGAGTCACTTTTGATGCTATCATTGAGTGTCAAGTTTGTTAAACATATCACTTCGTTTAACGGATGAGAGAAGAAACTTAGATTAATTTATATGGCTTAAAGAAGTCTAGTCTGATCAGGGACGTTATGGCTTATCCGGGAAGAAAAAAAATCAAACTCAGGACTAATACTGTCAATACTCATTTTCAGAATTACACGAGAGATTAAATTTTTGCAGGTGCCCCCTTCCAGTCCAAAATCTTTGAGCTGTCTCTGTCATTATGATAAATAATCAGTATACAGTACAAGTGGCCCAAAACATTTTGTTGCTTGAACAACAACAATTCATGTGAATATGACAGAAAAATTTCATTTTTTCTGAAAAGGTGGTGTCTATATACTTGTGGCCACGCTGTGTATATACATATATATATCGCATTACCGTTATTGGTTCAGGTTGTCAACTTATTGTCATAACGGATAATGTCTGTGTAATAGCACCCAAATGTGTTCGGGATATCCCATCTATCAGACAAAATCCAATGTCAATGCCGATGTCAATCTAGTCAGCCATCATGGAAAATCATAAAAAATCAAATAAGGGTACGAAGCTGGATGCTTTTATTTGTTTTCCTTAATCGATAGTTTAGTTTCTAAAATATTTTTGTATTTATTAAAAAATAAAGTAAGGTATTTCTTTAATAGCCTGTCTTCATAGCCGTTTTTTTCTTCAAATCTTTCAGTTTATTTTGTATAATAGAACATCATCTATAATAAATAAAAAAATATTTTAGAAACTAAACTATCCATTAACGAAAATATCTTACAAAAATAAATAAAATAAAGAGGGAGTTAGTTACTTTAACTTATAAGTAGCTAATAAAAATTTTTTTCAAATAATTTTATTTGGTATAATCGGGATGGAAAGACTAACTTCAAGTAGCTGTGTTTGTCTCGGCGTTCCACTGAATAAATCTTCAGGAGAAAGGGAGGAGATTGGGAGTAAGAACTATATAAGAAACTTTAAGGTAGGGTGTATACTTCTATTTAGTTCTATTCAATATTTTATAGTTCTATTTAATATATTATAGTTCTATTTAGTTCTATTCGATATTTTATAGTTCTATTTAATATCTTATAGTTCTATTTAGTTCTATTCAATATTTTATAGTTCTATTCAATATCTTATAGTTCTATTCAATATTTTATAGTTCTATTTAGTTCTATTCAATATTTTATAGTTCTATTTAGTTCTATTCAATATTTTATAGTTCTATTTAGTTCTATTCAATATTTTATAGTTCTATTCAATATCTTATAGTTCTATTCAATATTTTATAGTTATATTTAATATCTTTATGTAAGGGTGGAGGTTGGGAGTTTAATTAGTAGAAATATTAGGGTGGTTTCATTTCTACTTTGAGGAATTTAAGGGTAACTACCTTCCCTCAACTGGCTATAGACAGTGAAATGCAGTAGAAGCTGAGACGTTGTGGGTGAAGCACTCAGCTTCGTACCCTTATTTGATTTTTATATGATTAGACTGACATCGCCGTTTGGATATTGTCTGAGATTTGGGGTATCTCCAATACATTTGGATGCTATTACCACAGACATTATCCGTTACCACAATAAGTTGACAACCTGGACCGATAGCGGTATTGCGATATTTAATTCACTATTGTTTTATAATGATGATTTAATCGCCTATTAATAATTAATGTAATCAATAGTTTGTAAGGTAATATTTATATATATATATATATATATAAGCACAGTAATCGAAACAGGTAGAACTTAAAATTAACTTAAACATTGAAACTATTGAAACTGGAAAAGAAACAAAGATGTCATATTACACAAGGAAGGTGTTCCAGGTCTACAAATAATTAAGTACGGAGCAGATGTTTTGTAAATCTGGGTAGTTTAAGTCTATATGGCGTTATTGTTATCTAAATGATTATGTGAGTATATAAGTCTCAAACATGCCTTTACAGTTACATCTGAAGATGGTGTCATAGGATACCGAAACATATGTAGAATCTTTTTTTTTTTTAGGGAAAGTCCTTGTTTTTAATAACTATTTACTGTGTAATCTTAACGTTGTATTCCTTTTGATTGTAAATAGATGCTTTACGCAATTGTCGTTTTTAAATCATTTAATATGTTTGTTCTTTTACACATCCAATGGATTTTAGCTCTCCCGTACAGTTCCTCAACAAATGTTTGTTCTCTTACACATTCAATGGATTTTAACTCTCCCGTACAACTTCTCAACAAATATTTGTTCACTTACACATGCAATGGATTTTAGCTTTCCCGTACAATTTCTCAACAAATGTTTGTTCTTTTATCTATTCTATCTGGTGGGATAGGAGTAATTTCATGGACTTATAACGTTAAAATCCGGGGTTCGATTCTCCGTAGTGGACACAGCAGATAGCGCATAGTGTCTTTGATCTTAAACAGACAAACAAAACTCTTACGTACCTAATATATCTTAGCTCTCTTGTACAGTTCTTCATGTTGAATTATTTTTTGTTATAGCTCTGGTAAGGCGCTATCATCTAGAAAAATCTAACTGAACAGATTTTTTTTTTCAAACTAATCTGAAAAAAAAAAGCAACTGAACTAATTGCGTGTATAACACTTTTGTTTCCTCTTAGTTTATCAAGCTACTTGGTACGAGAGATCTTATAATTAGTTTAATTAGTTCAGCAACGCTTGGTATTTAAAGAACCACAAGAAAAAGTAGGGTAATTGTAAAATTAGAAATGAAGAACGTTACTTTCCCAAAAATGTTAAATTAGATACTGTTACATCAGTAAAACATAATGATGGATGCATAAGAATAAAGCATCTATTAATGAACGTGTACTCAAAGGAATAGAAAAATTGTTGGGGTTGAACTGTTACATTGATACTGAATAATTTATTATGCCCCAAGTTTCGTATACGTTGGGAAATGTTTTTTTGAACAAATATATACTTATATAGGTGAGATTGTTTCATACATTGCCACCGTGCGACTAATATTTGTTCTCTCCTAAACATTAGGTTGTAATTCAATATTTCCAATGTTGTTTCCGTAATAAATTATTTACGTAAATTTTATTTTGAATGTAGGAGATTTGTTAACAGATTTGTTGAAAGATTGCGTGATATCATGTACATTTAATATACATAGTTGTTTTTAGGGGGTATTAAGTAGGAGAAACTGCTTATCACAGAGCAATTTAGTTACTTTCGTTCATAAATAATAGCTCTTTATGTTAATATTTCATAATCTGCGTACTTTTATACTAAGCTATATTTTACCGTATGTTATATTTCACACGTTTCCTGAATACTAAAACGATAAAATTAAACACCGATCACAAATAATACAGTAAAGTTTCTTTCATCAGTAATACCCCTAATATATTCATTTTCTATCTTATACTACGATTTATTTTGCAAATCGTATATTACCTTTTGCAAATAAAAGATATAACAATGTTTTTTTCTACAGCATGTAACTCATCTTGAATATATTACAGCTATTTAAACTAGATATTTTATATTCAAAACCTGAAAAATAAAAGTTTCTTGTCTCATGAATATATTCTACAGAGTTAACTCGGAAATTTAGTGTAACATTCGAGTTTTATATAAAAATAATAATTATAGTTATTTAGAAAGTAGTGACTATAAATATATGTCAGTTCTAGGAAAAGAACCACGACTCCAAGCTAAGTTGTTCTCAGCACAGTGAAATAGGCAATAAGTTTTAGTTTACCATGTCTTTACTGAGCATTGCTATGTGTTCTTTCCAGCACAATGAACTGGGTGATAAGTTTTAGTTTACCATGTCTTTTTATGTCTTTACTGAGCATTGCTATGTGTTCTTTTCAGCACAATGAACTGGGTGATAAGTTTTAGTTTACTATGTCTTTACTGAGCATTGCTATGTGTTCTTTCCAGCA